TGCCTTAGTCATTTAATGTGGTTGTTGTATTTGCCTCAGTCATTTAATGTGGTTGGTGTATTTGCCTCCATCATCTAATGTGGTTATTGTATATGCCTCAGTCATTTAATGTGGTTATTGTATTTGTCTCAGTCAATTAATGTGGATGGCGTATATGCATCAGTCACATTATGTGGCTATTGTATATGCCTCAATCATTTAATGTGGTTATTGTATATGCCTCAATCATTTAATGTGGTTATTGTATATGCCTCAATCATTTAATGTGGTTATTGTATATGCCTCAGTCATGAATTTATTGTATATGCCTCAGTCATATGAATTTATTGTTTATGCCTCTGTACAATACTGTTTCAGTTTAAGCCTCAGCTCTGTTTGTATACTGTGTATCCCTCAGCATAGTATAGACAAAAAATAAATACAGTAAAGCCTGTACTATTATCATCTGAATGTCATTAAAGAACATGGTACCAAAATCATTTTAATAAACACATAATAAAAATGAATACAAATGTGGAATACAAATGTGTTACATTCAATAATTCAGAGAAATGTTTGGACTTGGTAACGATGGAAACATTGAAACTAGCTGACAGGGCTGGGTAACACAGGGATAGATAAAAATTGTGAACATTGCAATATTGAGACTGAGGAAAACATTGAGCAACATTTAGGCATGGCAACATGGCAACATTAGCTCTCAGTAAAGGTAAATGCTGAGACTGGGTAACAGGGTAATGTTTATATTAGGTAGTCTGAGAATAATGAAGAATATTGGGATCAGTAGTAACAGGGAAATAACAGTAACAGGGTAAAATATACAATGGCTTACAAGGTAGTATTAGGACTGTGTCACAATATGTTCTATTGAGACTGGGTTACAGGTCATATTTTCGTGCCTGGGCAATATTTCAGACTGGTAAACACTGTAATATTGGTTCTCAGCAAATATGCAAATTAATAACAAGATAAAATTGAAGCTGGGTAACAGAGCAACATTGAGATAGGGCACAGGACAATATTAAGACTTGAGAAAAAGGTCAATATTTAGATTATGTAACCTGGGTAGCAGGATATTCCTGAGTGCATTATACAATTGAAACTTAGTAAACAGGCCGTTATGTTACGACTGAGTAAAAGGCAATATTGAGACCAGGCAACTAATATAATTAGAACTGGTTGACTGGGCAACTGGTTCATAATTTTCATGGCAAAAATGAAAATACAGGTAGGGTTGACTGGTCGAAAGAAAACGGATTACATGGCAATATTGAAGACAACATTATAGGAGATTGAGTAAGAGGCAGTGGAAACTGCATATCAAAATATGTATAACAGGCCATTTAAAACTTGTTATCAAAACATGTAAAACTAGTCATCTAAAATTATCAGAATGCTAATTAATTGCATGCAGTATGTGAATGATTCTATTGGACATTTTTAGACTTTAACTATGTCCCATTGGAGAAAAGAATATAAACAGATCAACTAGTGTATTGATTAAAACATCTTTGTCTCAAAGGTGTTCATTTCTGTTTGTTTAACAAGGATAACAAACATTTTTTTATAATTATTTTCTAATCTGCTTGTTATACAGGAACACTAACAAACATCAGATAGAATAGCTTAAGCTTTTTGACCTCTAGTATGTCCATGTCTCCATTACAAAGCCTGGCCCAGTGCCTATATACCAAATGACTTGTATAGAGACAAGCCATCCTATACTTTCACACAACCTAGACATGTTACAAACAGTAAGATACTTTATGGCTGGTTCCTACATTTTGATGTTTGAAATCCCTCATCCTAACAATGGGCAGGTACAAGTTCATGATAGGGAAAGTCTGTTACACAAAAGTAACAATGCAATAGGGTTACTCACAGGCAAACAAGGGGATGTTGATTTTGGGTGAACAGGTAAAGGGTATACTTTCTTTTCAAGTGCTAAAGCAACAAGTTTAAATGTATATAACCAAACATGTTTTGTGAGGTATTTTGTATATGGTTTTTATTGGGTATGGTATGGAAGGGGATGGGGCGTAGCTAAGCATGTGTAAAGCAAAGACACTGGTGTGAAAGTGTGGCAATCAAATTAAAAGATTCTTTTGAGCATTCTTCACCTGAAATTTTCATCAGAAACTTTGAACATCTTTTCATTTTATCCCTCATTACCTGATTATTGTTTATATCTAACCACATAGCAAGCCCCATCTTATAAAACATAACAGTTGACAACAACCTTAAATACTGACCAAAATAAATACGTTTTTTCTAATTTTTTTTTTAAGTCTTAACAGAGCCAAACAGGGATACTCATCAATTCTTTCACAAAATTACTTTTTATATTTGAAAAATGAAAAGTATCCCAAAAATAAAACAATCCGGTAGTGACATGGAAATTTAGTGACATTGTTAGCTACGCCCCCCTGGTATGTCACAATTACTAATTCTAGCAACATGTCACTCACTTGCCTCCAAGATTGATCTTGGAAAGTAAACTGAAATGACAAAATTTTAATAACAAAAGTTATTATTTCCTCAAAAGAGTTGTCTCCCTTGGCTTAAATATTTTATTCTGAAGAAAAGTAATTCCAATGAAAGCTAAACTACCCTGAACTTAGCAGATTTTGCTTAGTCTGCAACTTTCTTAAAAATGCATTTACATTACTGTGCTATGCTGTAAAGACACTTCATCATTACTATTATAACATGCCTTAAAACCTGTAAATTATTTCATCTATATCTCATTCCCATAACTGACTATCAACCAAACAATCTTTTCTATATAATCATGCAAAATGTTCTAATAAATCACATTGTCCATAAAACAGCATTCACTTTGTTTTCATTCAGTTAATATACATTGTATAATTATATTATAAAATACTTTAAAAACATCTTTCTTTTCCCCCAAGTTACTGCATACAACAAGGCACTGCTCTTTAACCCCTATTATTGCTGCCACATAGTCACCAGTGCTACTTGGGAGTCTCACTTCACCCTTAATTCTTTAATGGACTCTTCTTACACATTCATAGGAGAACATTCCATTATTGGACAAAGGGTGAAAGGGTAAATTATTCAAAGCAGAAAGATCCTCTAATAAAATGTTTGAAAACAGAAGCTGTGTGCAGCTCTAGCTAATCTTAATCACCTCATGTAAGGCTAAAGTTTTTCACAAAGTGAAAACTTACTGATTACATTGCCTAATCTAACAATATAAATAGATCACTGGAGTAACTGTTTTTCTAGCACCTGCAGAGGCACATATAGACTAAGTTTACAGACTTTAATAATTTGAAATATTAGATGAAGAGATTGTTGTTAAATAAGCCAAAGATAAATTTCATTAAAGTGTGACTCTGTAATAAATATAGTATAATACCTTCCAGTAAAATGTTTAAATTTCTGTTCAGTACTTTGCAATTTGGTTCAAAAGTCTCCAGTCCAAAATAATATGAAAACTATCAGTAAGGTTTTAAATCACACTCAAACACTGTAAAGGCTCTATGGTGATTATGGAGGGGAGGACCTCAGATGCCTTTTTTCTATGCATTGTTTCAAGGTATGTGTCAGCACCAGAGTAGAAACATCAACCTTTTATATTAAAAGCTAGCAGGATAGCTTCCTCACATGATACCAGTAGACTAACAAGTCTCTGACAGGACTCAGGTTCCACAACAATGATGGGGTCATGAGATTTGGAAACAGGGAACTTATATAATCAAAGGGCTGCATGCTCTGTGGTATTTTCTGATCTTTCCTGTATAAGTTTATTTTTATATACTATTATTCATCTTACGCAGCGACTGCGTTTAACAGTTTGTGATTGATACATATGGAATTTTGCATGCTTAGAGTTGTATCAAAAATCATTTTTCATTTTTTATTACAGCCACACGTATGTAGCGTGAATAAAAACAAATATATTGTAATTCCAAAATTGAGAATTTTCATTTCGTATTTGTAATCCTTATTAATTTCGAGGTATTTTGTTCACGATAAACCTGTTGTTAAACACTGATGAAAATAATTTAGCGAAAATCTTCTCGCCAAAACAGTCCGACATGTATATATTCCATTACTCGACAGTCAGATTTATTTGTGTACTACGCTATGGAGTATTCGGTAATCGACATAGCTAAAAATAGCATTTTCATTGATTAAGCTTTACGGAAATAGTCGAACATTTTTCATTGGGTAAATAAGATATTCATCCGCGAAATTTGTGATTGTAACCTCATATTTCTATTGACTAATGTAAACTTTTAATGCACTGTAATTCATTCAATGCCTACATTAAAAATTATTATTTCTTTAAATTGCTGGTTAATTTAAGCAGTTTTGAGTGAGAACTACTTTGCGTTGTTAGGTCTGTGAGGAAATTTTGTGTTAGACCGTGGATGTTAGCTATGTATTTACTGATCTTGCGATCAGAAAATACAAAAATGGGTGTACTAAGGTGCCATCATAAGTTTGTAAATACATGAAGACAGCATCTCGGGTCGTTCTCCAGATATAAATCTCGAAATCACCATAGCACCTGAACAGTGGAGTGATGACTTAAAGCAAAAACAAAGTTTAAAAACATATTTCTTTGAAAAAAATTTGGACAGTAAATAAAAAATGTCCTTAAATGTTAACTCCATGATACCAAATTCATAACCTGTTGAAACAGAAAAAGATCAGCCTTTGTCACCAGTATAAAGTAAGACCAGCATGTACCAATGTGCAGTCTGACCAGGCTCTATACTGTTGGTATCTCAATTTTTGTATTTCAATATTAATACGCCTTATACGCCTTGAACGGAATGTTCCAAATTCAAAAGCATTGAGAACTAATTACACAAATAATAACTTATGAAAGAATTTAACAGTTTCAAGTCTGTTGAAGGTATTATACTGGAAAGAGAAGAGAGAGAGAGATCTTTCTGCTGTTAAAAAAGTTTATATCCCTAAAGCCACACTGTGCTATAGTACAAGCAGTTTCTGGTACCTACCATCTGGTGATAATATTCCTGTTTCTACACAAAAATTATCAAAATGTCATGCTAAATACATAACAAAATAACACATAATTTAAGCACCTTTTTCCTATATTGATAACATTATATTGGGTTTTTAACTTTTTAGTAAAACCGAAAACAGTTGGTGTTTTGCAAAATGTTTTGTGTTGCGTGTTTTGTTCTTTTTTCTTGAGGTTTAGCACCAGTTTACATTAATTTACATACACATTACTTTTTACCTGTTTGAAAACATGTGATATAATCAAAAAGCAATTTTATATCTTTAAATTATTGTAAAATATTAATTATTGTCAGCCATTACAGAGGCTCAATTGCAGTACTTAAAGTACTAAAAATTGCACCAGTACTAACCTGTTCCCTTCCACAATTAAATGTCAACTTTTTACAAAAGAATATTTCTTGATAAACTTTTTTTTTTCAGCATTTTTTTTTTAAGTCATTAAGAAATTTTAGGTAAAAACTATGAAGAAGTTCTTGAAAGAATATGTGAGTATTATATCTTTAAGAAAGCTCTGTTTGATAATATATTTAACAATATAATGTACACTTGTTACATTTGTAATTGTACAGACAGAAGTTAGAGATTAACAAAAACTTTTTAACTTATATATCAAATAGAGGTAATGCAAAAGAAAACATTGTTATATAAGCCATACATTAAAAAAAAAACTTGAGTGGTAAAAAACTTGAGTGGTAAAAAACTTGAGTGGTAAAAAACTTGAGTGGTATAGTTACAATTATATTCCAGTCACAAATTCCAAGTCTCAAGATAATGGATATTACATCAAAATGCCTCAATTTATGATGACTTTAATGTCAATACAAACATTTTTATTTCTTTATTAGACCTTTGACCTCTGCATGTGACATTGACCTTTGCCAAAAGGACATAACACTTCACTCAAAAATAGAGAATATTTGCTATATTATAATACCTTAATGTATGTAGAAGTTATGTAAAAAAATCACTGGTCCTTTTAACATTAAAAAACTTATTACATGTATCTAACAGAATGTTGTATATCTATATGTAAGCCTTAAAATTTACCAAACTCTTCCGAAAGCAATTAGTACTGATTCAAAAAGCAAGTTTTTTTCTTTACAAATGAAAAATTCAAAACATCACTAAAAAGCTCTCAAAAGCTAAAAGCAACTAAAAAAGCTGCTGAAATGTTTTAACAATCAATACTTACAATCTGCTGTATCTTCAATTCTATACCAAGCATAGCAGTTGCTGGTGAAGGTGGGGGAAAATCAGGGGTCGGGGGCTGGGGGTAACCTGTAGGGGTCAGGGGCGTACCCTGTTTACTCTTCACAAAGTCAAGGTGGGTTGGCTTGGGTGAACCTGAAGGAAAAACAACAGGATAATTTTTTTTTAAAAATTAAGGTGTAATATATCATACTTGTACGTAATATTCTTATCTGCAAAAAATAAGTTTTTATAATTATAAACTCATTCTTTTGAACGAAATATCTAAAATTACACAAATGAATTAAGTTCAAACACTGATTGTATTCTAAATTGCATTATAAATGTTTTTCATTCTAACAATGTTCATAATAAATTATGAGACAATTCATTAGATATTGAAAATATGCAATAATAATTCTGTAACTAGATATATGGTCATTAGTATGGTGGGAAATTGGGACATATAGGTCAAGAAATGATGTGAACTTGAAACTAAAGCGTCATAAATATGATTGGAAATTGGAACATATAGGTTAAGAACTGGCAGCTAATTAGATTAAAAGTATAAAACTATAGGGTAATAATTACTGGAAAAAGGAACAATATATAATCATCATGGTGGGAAATTTATTGAAAATTCTGCATATATAGGGTCATTAGTATGATGTTAAAAATAAAACTATCCAAAATCTATCTAACATTCAAATTAAGTTCTCATTAATGCCTTATTAAACAATGACTAAGTTTCCAAGAGCATGAAAATATAATACATGCTTATACATGTTGGAAAATTGAAATTTTAAAACTATGGCATCAGTAACTAGAAAATAAAACTAAACAAGATCTATTTAAAATTTTGCACGGTTCCATTATTTCATTGTTAAATGATCACTGAGTTCTGGAATGTGTAAATAAATGTGTTATATGCACTGTCAGATGATCTATGACATTCCTCATGGCATCAGATATGACATCCCTTACATTTAATTACCTCATATTAATTACTTCTGCAATGTATGTGAACCAACATGTTTGTTGATTCTTTCTCTATGAGCATAATTATTTAAGTCAAAATAGACATTATAAATTCTTGCAATTTCAAGTCATATTGCATGGTTTATCATTCAGATGGTCACTCAGACCTACGCTTTAAATGTAAAAATCTTATTATGCATATTACTTTTAACAATGCCCTGTTATATGACATTGGACCCATGGTTGTTTTTCATTTCCTTATTTCAGAATTTTCTTCAAAACTATTGCATAACTTGACTTACCTTTATTAGAATTTTCCTGTACAGGTTCGGCATTTTCTCCACTATCTTTGGTTTCATCTTTGGAATCAGTCTCATCAATGCCCACTGTTTTATCTTTATTTTCTGTACAATCATCTTTACTGTCTTCACTTCTCTGTTTAGGAGAAGGTACAGGAGACAGATCTTTAATCTGGGAGTATACATTAGTGTCTACTTCAAGAGTTGCTGTGCTCTTTCCAACTGCATCATTCTCTGTTATGGTTGCATAGATATTTTCCTTTGGAGATGATGGTGAAAGAGAACCTTCTTTTTCCGGAATTTCTGAATATTCATTTTCATTCTCAGTAATAGCTTTACTGTCTTCACCATCTGTTTTGTTACTCATCACTAGGTATGTTGATTCTTCAGGGGCAGTATTTGCTCTACGAAGCTGGCCTTGTCTTTCTTTAAATCTATCAGTAGGTGAAGAAGGATTAGGACTCACATACACATCATCCGAAGGGTTAGGAGCTGTGTTCATTCTACGAAGTTCTGGTCTTGTTTTACGTGACAAATCGGCAGATAATTTTCGTAAATTTGGAAAAAGAATACCATAGTTATCTACCCCTTGCTGTGAAGATTGTTGTTCTTGTACATTAGAAGAATTGACACTGGCCTTCACTTGTGGTTTGACCTCTGAAACTGGTCTTCCTGACTGGTCAGAATGGTTTACTTTTGACATCTCCATGTAAAATCCTTCACTAACAGGTCTAGTTGTCTTTGGCTCAACAGAGTTATCTTCCTTAGCAACTATTGTTTTAGGAGACAACGATGGTCTTGGGCTTTTTACAGGGGGACAACAATGTGTTGAATTTGGAATGCTGCAATCTGATTGGTCAGTTCTTTGTAAACAAGAATTTGGTGAACTACAATCTGATTGGTCTGTTCCTTGTGCTGTGGAATGCAATTCGTCTACATTTTGCCCGGAATGCTGGGAAGTGCTTTCACAATCAGTGGAGTCAATATTTGAGGTTTGTGCAGGGGGAATGTTAACAAAACTTTCTGGAATGTTAGTACCTGATATCTCAGGAGTAGAAGTTGTAGAGGAAACAGGCTCTTGTGAAGAGAGTGGTGGAGATTTACGCACTGGAGCCGGAGATCTTTTCTGTCTTGGTGGCTTCTTTGGTTTAGGCTAAAACAAAGTGAATTCATTTTAAAAGATTAAAATCTAAGCATTAAAATATCAAAATATATTCTTTAAAAAGCTTTCTCTGTGTTTAGCTTTGGTTTCAAACTTTTTATACTTTAAAACTAAAGAATTTTGAACTTGTTTTCTACAAGTAACTTCCAAAACTGTAACACAAATCACTTGAATTAGAAATGTATGATAAAGGCTATAAATATATTTCTTCAACTATTTTTTGTCACTTTAAGCATGTGTAGTGCTGCTTTAAGACTTAAACTAGTTTCTTTAACCTTATTCTTACTCTGCTTATATAAGCAGCTTAGCTGCATTGATGTATTGATACATTCTTTATGAATAATATGCAATAAAATAATATTCATTATTATCAAAACAATTCAGTTTGTTTTCTTATTTCTCTGGTCTTAACACAATTTTTAACAATTAATTTTTTTGCAGCCGATCCATCCGACCAGCTTTAATTACCTATTTTTCCACAATGGACCAACAAATTATCCCATAATATTTTTCAATTTTTTTTTTTTTATTGGGTTTAACGTCCCATCGACACAGTATAGGTCATATCGCGACGTTTCAGCCCTTACTGGTGGAAAAGACCTCAGGTGCCCTTCCATGCATTATTTAAGGCACAAACTTGCACCTAAGTAGAACCACAGACGTTCCGTAAGCTAGCTGGAAAGCATATGAGCCGTGTCACGACAAAACCAACATAATGGGTGTGCGACCAGCATGGATCCAGACCAGCCTGCGCATCCGCGCAGTCTGATCAGGATCCATGCTGTTCGCTATCAGTTTCTCTACTTGTTATAGAGTTGGTAAGCGAACAGCATGGATCCTGATCAGACTGCGCGGATGCGCAGGCTGGTCTGGATCCATGCTGGTCGCAAAGCCATTATGTTGGTTTTGTCGTGACACGGCTCATATTTTTCAATCAGCGGTGAGAGATAAATGGCCATCAGACTCACCGTCCATCATAAATTATCACAGACAAATAACGCCTTGCCCAGGGATCCAACCAAAGACCCTTTGATTACAAATCCAATGCTCCTGCTATTGAGCTAAGTGGTGTGTAAATAAACAATTCAGAGATATTTGTTAAATATGTTTGCATAAAGAAAATTGCAAAACAAAATACCTGCTTCATCAAAGGGGGTCAGGAATAAACCATACAAATAACACTTGCAATGAGTTAGTTTGTGATCAGAATTTACAAAGAAATTTTTCTTTAAAATCATAGAACTGAAACAAAAACTGTAATCACTACCATGTTAGCTTTTGATGTAGGTGGACTAGATTCAGGAATGCTGGGTATACTGTGTTCTGAAATTTAAAAAAAACAAAAAACATGTTATTACTACTGCAAAATCAATTTTATTCGTGGAGCAATAATTTTCAGGTCAATTCACATAACATTAAAGATCGAACAAAATTTCATTCTGTCTGCTGTAAGATTATTTTGCATTACATTTTTTACATTTTACCTTAAGGAAAAATAAACAGTCCAGGAATTTAAGACCCCAGGAAAATGTTCTTGTAACAAAAACTTGAAATTAAGTGAATTGACAGTATATCATTCATATATCTCTAACATTGAAAATCTGATCTCCACAGATTTGTTAAAGCTAAATTTCAACAAATTCATTTAGGTTCAATTGTATAAAAACTTGAAAGCTCATTTTAACCAATCTCTAAAGACTTTTTCCTGGAACTAACAAACATTGGAAGAGGTCTCTATACAAAATCATACTTAACTCAATGCATTATCTAAAATGCTTTCACTCTTGCCTTACAAATAAGATTATCATTTTAATCTTCAACTCCTCAAATATATGGTAACAGAACACAGTACCATGAATAGGTAATGAAAATTTAAAACTCACCTGCTGGAAGTAAGGAAAGTCTTCCCTCTTGTGTGAATATTGAATGTCTTGGTGGTAACGGTGGTGGCACATCATCAGTTGTGGAGCTGGCTGTACTTATCACCCTGAAATTATACAAGAAATTAATCAAATGTTAACTTACATAACTGTATACAATATAAGATTTTTTAATAGTCAAGAGCATATTTGTCACTAGTTCTGGTTTCCAAAACTTTATGAGCTGCTTTTCAAAGATCCTATACCTCAATTATTGTATGTTTTTATATCATTAATATAATGCTCAAATGAAGATTTATCAATTTTGTAAGTTCCAAAACCATTATTTGTAAAGATATTACTGAATTTACATTTCATGTTAATAAAGGGAGTAATTAGAAATTTATTTTCTATAAAGTCTAAGTCAAATTTTTTTCAATAAGAAATGAATGCATACATTTTAATGATTACCGTATAAGTGGTTTTTTCTGCGGTGACTTTATTTCTGCGTTTTCTGCGGTCAGTTTCAGCACCGCAGAAATAAAAACCGCAGAATATTTCTCCACATTTTGTTTTCTACATAAGGACCTGTTTCCTCTAAAGTAATAACGACTAACGGATTATAACGGTTAGCGGGTCATCGAATTATATAAAATTGCTTTTGGCTAAGTATGTAATATGTGCTTGTAAGGACATGAAGGGTGTATTTGTTGTTTATTTTGCCAATTTATGAACAAAGAAATTTAAACACCATAGTGTTGCCTGTACGCTAAAGGTTTGTTTACCACTAAATCATTAAAACCATTTAAACACTTATACTGCTAAATTATCTTCGTGTACATTAATTCTTGTCTGATTTACGATAAACTTCTATCAGTTTTATTAAATTAAAAATACTACCGGGGTATATTTTTAACACGTCATTTCACGCTGATCAAAAGATGCAAACTGTCTATTATTGCACATTATATTTTTTTTGTTTGCAAGCAAACAATATAATTGTTTGTAATTACCATATAGTTTTGCGGTGACGACGGTAAACAAAATTTTAATGCGAATGTGTACATGCAAAAAAAATAGGTAAAGTAATGTGACTTAGACTTTGATAGGATGAGCCGCAGAATTTAAATCACGTTTTGTCCAAAGATTGTGCCGCAGAAATAAAATCCGCAGAAATAAAAACATGCCAAAATTTGGAAAAACCGCAGAATTTGGAGCCCGCAGAAAAAACCACTTATACGGTACATATAATGTAGACACATATTTCCAGTACATATTTTACAAATTCTTTGATGTTTGAAAATTGTTTTAGAAGCATAATTAATACATGTATAAAGTTTCACTTAAGTGTGGTAACAATCTTAATTTAAACACACAGGATCTTTAACATTTTTGTTTTTCATCTGTTCATATGTCATAGTCTATAAACTGGTACAATGAAGACCTTAAGCTAATTTGTCACAGTTTTATAAGTTTTATAAGAATGCAATTATTACTAAAGTTGAACTTTCATTGGCTGACATGCTCTGTATGTAAACATGAATACAACACATAAACATTTTTTGCCTGAAATGCCTCAAGTCATATTTATCTTATATAAGCTATATTTTCCTGTATATCCAGTCAGGAAACCAAGTGACTTTAATACCTTTTTGTATACAAAAGAACAAGTTTTTGGATCTTTTTAGTTTCTTGCTGCTGGATTCTTTCAATTTCTATGTACAAGTACAAAGTGTAAACCTCAGAATTTCAGCTCTAAGTGCTGCAAATATTCTCTTGGATAATAATTTCAGATACAATACAGGCTTAAAACTAACAACTTCAGGACATGCAGAACTAGGTTTCAGTCATCATTTTTCAAGTCAACATGATATAATCAATACAATGTATAAACAAAAAATTAAACATCAACACCTTTTTTCTCAGTGTCTTTTTTGAAAACTTACAACAAGACTTTATATTTTACATTCTTGTTACTAAAAATTATGTAAGAAAGTGAATGGGACATAATTTTTAATGTCATTAAATTGATATGCAAAGTTATGTGAAAACTGTAATTTGTTAATAAAGAAAACATCTATAATAGGAATGATTCCTATTTACCTATCCATATCCAATTTCTCTTTATTTGGTTTAGAATATGTTGGTACAACTGAAATATTTTCTTGTTCCCCTTCCGGAGAAACTTTGTACATTGAAACTCTTGGTGTAGGAACCGGCCTCTCTGGTGTGCCTTCTTTCTCTGCAGCATCTACAGGGAGTGGCTTGTCTGGTGGGTGTGGCCTATCAGAAGGACTTGGTTTCTCAGGTGGGAGGGGCTTAACAGCAGCAGTAGGTTTATCTATTCCACTACGACAGTTTGCCAAGCTTTCATACTTATCACCAGACTGATTCATGTGTTCTGCAATTGTATATAAATTAAAAGAAAAAAACATTATTCCAAACATATAAAGGAATATCATGTGGATCATGCTAATGTGTCTGATTCATATTTTGTTTGGTGTGACTATATGGATACGTAGAAACAAGTCTTTTAAGTGACCAATCTAGATCTTGCATGCATAGCAGCATCTGATAAAGACAAACATTTGTACAAAGTATTGAAATTATTCAATATATGGTCAGGACAAGTAAAAATGCTGAACATTTTGCCTTCAAACCTTAAGTCCGACAATTCAAATTGAGTTTTTGAATATGTAATTTTTATTTGTATACTGCACTTCAGTAGTTCATGGCAATAATTATTAATGTTATTTGAGCTTACCTTGTATAGCTTTGGTTATTTCTGTGAAGGATTTTTGTTGAGCTTGGTGTGCACTAAGCAGCTCCAGCACGGTCTGACCCTTGTAGTCCCTCTGGTTCACATCAATACCTCGCTCTAGTAACAGCTTTACCACATCAAGTTTCCCGTGCAAGGCCGCCTCGTGTAAGGCATTACCTGTTTCAGTCTGAAATGAAAATAAAGCAAGAGTTGTCAGCATTTCATCAAAAGCATTAAAAAATTTCTTATAAATTCCTGATTTTCATAACCAAAATATTACTTTTAAAATATCAAGAACAATAAATTATTTCTTCATTTACACTACTATGAACTTGGCAAGGGAAGTAACTTTTCAGGGCTTTAATCACATTCAATTACAGTATTAATTTTTCATTCAAGTCAAAGTGTAAAAGATGGGAGCTAAAGTTTTGATCTTTCCCTTAAAATTTTGAAATAAAATTTTAAATTCTATTCAAATTTAACACTTGTATATATTAGAAATTTCTGGGGAAAAACCCCATATTTTTTCTTTCCCAAACCCCAAATGACTCATTATATTTTTTTTAAACACCAGTTCAGCCATATTCTGGCAGAACATTTAAGTTATCTATATCACTGAATATTATAGTAGTACAGGCCTATTTCCTGCCAATATATTAAAGTAGCAACTTTCAGCATTAAGATATGCATTAGAAGATTCAGTGTTTTCATATTTCATTTTACTGTGAATTCAATTAAAATTGGGGCATGAAATTTCATGGTATTGTATCTTAAATTCTTAAGATTGTATATAGATAAGATAGAAAAAAAATGTATGTCAGACAAAATAAGATTTCCTTGGATATTAAATATGTTGATTGACCTATCTGTAAAAACCACAAAAATTAGTGCCCCACAAATAATAATGATGCAGTAATACATGAATTATACATGAATTATTCTTTAAATATTATTTTGTAACTTATAAGCCTTATTCTTTTTGTATTCTTTGTGTTTTAAAGTCACACACATGTCAACTATTCATAGTCCAAGTGATGAACTAAAGGAGGAGACTTTGTGCATTATTTCAGACATGAATGATTTCCTAGTGGACCCTTTCACAAGCTTGTTTACTATATAGCTCATCCTCATTTCAGATTTTAGCATAATTTTTGGGATCAATTACTTTTATAAATAAGCAATGGAAATCTCATGATCACCTGATGATGAGGTCATTGAAATGATTTCTTTTTAAAAAGAAAGGAGTTAGAAATAATTGCAATTAATTATACATTTAAACACTTGCTGGAACGTAATTTCATTGGTTGATATTTTGCACACCTGATGCTGTATACTGTGCTCCTCTTAGTTCACGGTACTTAACACTTTAAAACAGTAAAGAACACAAACAATAAACTTACACAACAAAAACTGTTATAAACTGTATCATTTAGTCATTTTTCTGATATATGACACAAGGAAACAACAAGATATTCAATCAAAATTAGTTTTAATTTGTCAGATGTAAACCGTGTGTCGGCCATTTTGAAAACAGTATGTCATCATTTACCTCGCGGTAATGGTGATTTATTTCAGTTTTTTCATGTTTCAGTTAAAATTTCTTTAAGTTATTTTGCATAATTTTAAATATTAAAAGTATCTTTACATTGTTACTCAAAATTCATTTTTTCAACAAACAAGAACATTTAGAAAATGATGATTGTTTCAGACATATGCACAAATTTAATGGACTTTTGTTGTTTTTTGTAGAAGTTTGTAAAATGTTGTTCAGTTTTACGTAAAAATCTATAGATTTAGATTATTTTGCACAAAAACTTTGTTGTTAAGGTGTTTGAACAAAATATGTCAATTCTGACCAATTATAACAATGGTCACATGAAAATATGCCATTACCGTGAGATAAGTGATGACGCGGAATTAGTGATGTTGAGTATATATTGACGCAAATTTATTTGTTTTACCCATGGTTGATTACATGTTACATGTATCAAACTTGGGTATCTGACAATGGAACTAATAGTGTTTACTTTTGCCACCAGTTTGCTACTGTTGGTAGCTTAACCTTTTACCTCATATAGCATGTTTTGACGGCTTTTACACCGCCCCCCCCCCCTTTTGAGCCTAAAATAGTGAAAAAATGCCCTATTTAGACCCAAACACTGATTTTCGTTTAAGAAACAATGTTAAAAAAAAGTGACTACTTTTTAGGTGCCGCCCCCTATCAAAAAGGTACATCAAGGGGGTGTCAGAGGGGGGATTTGCCCCCTTCTGTTTCAGGGTTTGAAGGGGGCAGTAGCCCCACTCATCTTCAAGAAAACTTTGGACTTGTGAGTGGCTAAAAATGGCCTTAAGTAAACCTTATGGTAAGGTGTAACCAACACCGAAAAGCCTTTTACATTATCTCAATCCACTGAGAAATTGCAGCACTTTGAAATAAATTTTGATGGAAAAAATCGAGGCAAAATAGTGATTTTTGGCAATTTTGAGACGTCCCCCTTTTGCCATGGTAACAGGAAATTTAAGATTAAGCATGCTGTAACAAAGGCTTTGGTCCAGTCAACATTTGTGCCAAGTTTGATTAGTATTGAAGCTTTTTTAAAGTTTCATAGCAGTTTCAACTTATAACAGGAGGCTTTTCAATGAAAACAGCCATTTTTCACAATATGCTCACGCAGTAAAAAGTGAATTGTACTACTGAATTTGTTACTGAAATCACTTGTTATATCAACTGGACTGTTCCAAATACAAATCAGGGAAAATCCATTTCTCAAATTAAGCCGGTTAAGGGTGAAGATCAAAGTAACACCCTCCTGGTCTGTGGCCCAAATATCCCAACTGTTGAATTGAATTTACACGAAAAAGTAACTATTACACATTGTTGGAACCCTTCAGCCATTTTTTTTTAAAGCACATAAGTCAATTTTTGAAGCCCGTAAGCCATGCAACATGTTCCTTTTTAAGATCAATAGAAAAGCATACATATACAATACAATAATGAGTTTCAAAAGGAAATCATTTATATAATACATTGCATATCATACATTAATTTAAAAGAAAATTCTGTTTTTCAAGGGCACTTGAGATAAATACAAAGCTTAACAATTATAACTAGTCATGTAGAAAAATTCTCATTTCTTTTGTCCTTCATAACTTCCTTCCACTTCACTTCAATATATAAACATTAGCTTTAATTGTTGTGTACATTAATTTTTCTTTATATTGTATATTCAAATATTTAATATAACATTTAAAACAAGGGTTAAGCAAAACTTCCAAATCAGAAAGGCGGATTTTGCAAAAATCGCACATTTAAATGATGGTCATGCTAAAGTTCTATATCTAATCCATACATGTAGGTTAAAAATATTAAAGTCAATCTTTGCAGATTCTGAGAGATCTGCAGATTTCCTTCAAGATAACAGATTATTAATAGGGTCACACATTACAGAAACCTCTTAGGTATCTGCTACCTGGTATATAACCGAAATACTATCAAATACAGTTCATATATATATACACAGAAAAATCACACAAAAATTGGCACGCCACAGCCAGGACTTGAACCATGGTCAATCATGCTAACTATTTCACCATAGCAGCTTTTGCGTTTTCTTTGTGGTTATTGACCTTTTATATTAAAGCTATTTTTAACTTTATTGTGATCACTTTCATTACCATAGCTACGAGCTATTTATAGCTACTTTTACAGCTGTTGACTGAAATGCTATCACACAACCTTACACTTCCTTACCATAGTCTGTATATCAAAATTATTATCCAGCAACACAGCTACAATATCTCTGTGTCCATTTCGAGATGCTAGATGCAATGGTGACTGTGTGCTTGACGGGTGTCGCGCCAACTCTGGGTGCGATATCAACAACCGCTGCACAACCTCAAGGCGACCATACTGTGAAGCTAGGTCCAGCGGTGAAGCCTCATTCAGATTCCTTATGGTTGGGTTTGCTGATTTCTATATGGATACAAATACAAAAATTGACTCATCTTTTGACGTGCATCTTTTAAAACTGCCTTATGTTAATGATTGTATGTAAACATTTAAATAAAACTAAAACTACCTTATGTTAAAGATTGTATATTGACATTTAATAGAGTTTCATTTAAAAAATATCTCATAATTTTTTTTTTCTCATTGGGTTTTCGTTTTATGTCGCACCAACAAAGTATAGTCATATGGCGACGTTTCAGCTTTACTGGTGGAGGAAGACCTCAGGTGCACCTTTGTGCATTATTTCAGGCACAAACAGGCGACTGAGTAGAATCACCGACATTCCCATATCTCATAATCTGTAAGCCTAAAGAACTTAATAACTTTGCATGAATGCTATCTATCACAGTCAAATCTACTTCCTGGACTACTAGTAACCAGTATAGCTGTCATGACTACGGTCAACAAGAGCCCAGTTTGAGGCAGGTGATGCTCCTCAAATAGGTTTTGGACACAGAAAAGTACACCTCTTGTTGTTTCAGAGTTATGTCCCTGGAAAAAGTTCAAAGTGTAATAATTCCATAATTAAGCAAGGCAGAGTAACTGTTCTCTGCTCTGCACTTCTAATCAATGTGATCTATCAACTTACAAAGTTTCTATTTGACACCTCTTATGGTTTCCAAGTTATGTCCCGGACAAAGTTCAAAACGTAAAAATGAACAAAGGGCAATAACTACAAAATTTGGCAAGGCGGAGTTCAAGTTCTTGTGCATTGCACATCTTACCCATTGAGACCTATCTACCTACAAAGTTTCATGTTGATATCTCTTGTCGTTTTAGAGTTATTTCCCAGACAAGATTTTTTTAAAAGGGGAGATAATTCAAAAATTGGGCAAAATAGAGTTATATTTTTTTTGTACTGCACTTTTACTCAATGAGATCTATCTACCAACAAAGTTTCATGTTGAAATAAACAAAGGGCAATAACTCCAAAATTAGGCAAGGCAGAGTTATGATTCTTGTGCACTGCACATCTACCCATTGAGATATATTTACCTACAAAGTTTCATGTTGATATTTCTTATAGTTTTACAGCTATTTCCTGGACAAGGTTTTTCTAAAAGGGGAGATAATTCAAAAAATGAGGCTTAACAGAGTTATGGTTCTTTTGCACTGCACTTCTACTCAATGAGATCTATCTACCTACAATGTTTCATGTTGATATCTCTTACAATTTTAGAGTTATGTTCCGGACAAAGATCAAAGTGTTAAAATTAACAAAGGGCAATAAATCCAAAATTAGGCAAAAAAAGTTACGGTTCTTGTGCACTACACATCTACCCATTGAAATCTATTTACCTACAAAGTTTCAAGTTGATATCTCTAAAAGTTTTAGAGTTATGTCCCGGACAAGATTTTTCTAAAAGGGGAGATAATTAAAAAACCGGGCAAAATAAAGTTATGTTCTTTGACAGTGCACTCCCCCTCAATGCTCTCTACCACTGTATGAAGTTTAAACAAATTATCTCCAAGGGTTTTCAAGTTATGCTCCGGACAAGACAACTGACAGACAGACGGACGGACGGACAGACAGACAAGGTGACGACTACATGCTCTCCCTTTGGGGAGCATAATAAAAATGATTAGAAGAGCCCTTCACAACTTGTAGATTGCCATTACCAATCTCCATAACTGAAATTGCTATCAGCTTATTGCTTACTATATCATTTGATCATTAACTTTGTTAAAATTATTTCGAAGATTAATACATATACCAACATCCATTATACATAAAAACACTTTTATTGAAGTGTTTTAACTGATCATTTATGTAGGAACAAGGACATAAACAAATCTTTTTCTAATTACAATAGACATAATTGCAAAATTATGACAAAATAATGAATCTGAAAATATGTAAGTTATTATTCTGTGTATTAGGTTTATTTAAATGACAGTAATTTAAGGCCTATAAAATCTCCTATTTTCATTTTGAAAGGAAACATAAAAATAACAACACAAACCTGTAATAAGACGTCTACCACAGCCACATGGCCATACTGAGCTGCACAATGCAGAGCTGTATCACCTGTACCATTCTGAAAGATACAAATTGCAGAAATCTTTATTTTCCATAAAAAAGACATCAGTGATGATAGGGGCAGGAAAAGTGAGAAGAATGGAAGAAATTAGGCTGGGCCACAGTCAAAACAATTTGTTAAAATTACTAAAATAAGCCTCCAGTACTTTAAAAGATACATGGCAAGACCAAAAATCCCAGATTTTTCTTAACCAAAAGAAATGTAAGATTTCAGAAGGACCTGACTAACTGTCCACCAGTCTATTCAAAGTTTAAGGGATTTCAATATCTTATACAAAACTTGAGCTACAAAATTTATAGACCCTTAATGTCAGACAGCATGAATGTGTAGACTGACCTGGTTATATACTAGTCGCAGAGGCTAAACAGGTTTAGGGTTTTTTAAAAACCTCTGTCTGCACGCAGGGGTCAGTCAACTTTCACATATAACTGACTTAAAACAATGACACAGACACATACATTTTTCACAAAATCCAAAGTCCATTGACATTATTCTCTTCCAGTGAAGAACAAAAAAAAATGTCGAGTCCAAAAGTAAGACAGATGTCAGAAAATAAAAATTATGGCCTATATTCTAAACAATATAATCGTCCTTTACATAATGCAGATATCTCACATAAAGATGTTATACAAAGAAAATGCTGTATACGTTTCTCAGCTGAGCTATAAATTTCTATTATTTATAGTTCGGACCAAATTACATTAAATATTTACATGACAAATGACTTCATCATTGTAAAAACTAATCCTTGGAGCTACATTAAATAGATTATAGTAGGCATTAATAATTTGCCAGGCAATATTTTAGTATAAATATAGGATTATTCAAAGAACAAAGTCAGCATGACAGAAAATATAGACGCAGTTAAGAGGGGAAGAAAATAGGTCACGACGGGATGTTGGTGTACTAATTTCTGTTCTTAGACAGACTACTTGATACAGGAAATGCTGAGTTATTAAGAGAGTTTAAATGTTGTTCTATCAAAGTCCATTTTACTTGACAAAAAAAAATTGAAAAATGAAAGTTTCAAGCTAAATCACTAAAAAAAAAAAAAAAAAAAAAAAAAAACAGACGTTGCGTCATTTGTCATTTAACGGACGTTGCGTCATTTGTCATTTGTTATGTTATAAACGTCAATTTTTTCTGAAGAAGACTAAACGTCGAAAGCCTAAGAAAAGCGTTTGTTTTTATTGAACTGATTATAAGCTAAATCACTTACATTTGAGTGTTATAATTTTTTTAAATTACATGCATTTACAGTGTCATATAAAATAACTGACTGATACAGAAAAAAAACCACATAATAGTAGGAATTGAAGTGTGATGCAGTGGTGAGGGGCAAATTAATGTCTGTCAACAAGTAACCTTAACCAATTGGTCATTTAAAAAAACACACAATTTGGATACTTAAAGTAAAAATATTTAACTAACACTATACATGTACTTAAATCATGATCATGTGAGGTTAAGGAAAATAAATCAAAAGATTAAGGTAATAGTAATGCTTAAAATTACCATATCAAAAGGTTTAAGGAAAATTATGTGAAATATTCTTTTATAAATGAAAGAAATTTTCAAAATTTATTTAATATTTCAGCCATAAGAAAAAAATTCATCATATACAGAAGGCATACAGAATATCATTCTTACAGACATGACCATCGGCAGTTTTCTTGGTGCATAAAAAAAGGAATATATTCCTTGCTAAAAATATCAATCAAGTGTTTCAGACAAAAGAAAATTAAGAAATCAAGTAAAGTGGGCAGCTAATGTTTTATAAGACAGAGTGTAGGAGACACAAATATAGCTTTTAATTTTCCCCAATATACAATATTAAGTGAAGAAAATGGATGTGCCATCGTTTAGTACCCTATAATTATTTCAGGAGATTTTTCATGTCCACCATTATTCTACTATTCTTAAGCAAAATAAATTTCAGGTTATCAAGAAAAAAAATACAGTATTCTTAGTTAATTGTTATAAATATATCTTTGATAAAAAAAAACTGGGAAATTATAACTGAAAGGTCGTTTATACTGAACTCTCAATGATTAATTTGAAATCGGTTACCTAAACTAAGAGTTCAATGTATGATGTTATCAAGATAAACAACTATCCTGAAGAAGATAAAAGATATTGAGACAATCAGAGACGAATAACGAAAAAAAATCAAATGCCCATGTCAATGACTGAAAAAACAACAGAATGATATAGTTTTGTCACACCTTGATTACAGCCATATCAGTGAACATACACAGATTGATTTATTAATATTTAGGTAGAGATATGGTATTAAATGGACCAGGAGTTACATAATAAATTAATAATATGAATTCATATAAACAAGAGCCGGTTGAACCGGGTGATGCGCCCGAATAGGTTTTGGACACAGGAAGGTATACCTCTTGTTGTGTCAGAGTTATGTCACAGACAAAGTTCAAAGTGTAAAAACAACCCAAATATTTGTGCATGAACACATTGTCTCAATATGGTGTAATCAATTTTTGTGAAATAGTTGTAAAAATCCGACTTCAAATAACGAAGTTATGCGCCGGACATGATTTTTGCTTCAAGGTAGCAACCCAAATGTTGCATGCGACACGTCATTTCAATAATGGTGATCCATCTCTGTGAAATAGTTGTTAAATCCGACTTCCAGTAACGAAGTTATGGGCCGGACACGATTTTGCTGCAAGGTCATGCCGTGACCTTGACCTTCAAGGTAGCGACCAAAAATGTTGCGACCGCAACACAATGTCCGTCATTGTGGTGATCATTCTGTGAAATAGTTGTAAAATCCGACTTCAAATAACAAAGTTATAGGCCGAATACGATTTTACTGCAAGGTCATGCTGTGGCATTTTTGTTCTCCGAGGTAACGACCCAAATGTTGCGCGTGACATGTCATCTTAATATGGTGATCACTTCTGTGAAACAGTTGTAAAATCCGACTTCAAATAACGAAGTTACGGGCCTGACACGATTTTGCTGCAAGGTCATGCTGAGACCTTGACCTTCAATGAAATTTTTCGGGGAGCATAAAAACTTTACATATTTACATATTAAAGCTATAGTATAACATTATATCAGAGTAGCAAGACTCAAATGTGTAGTATTTACGATAAAAAAGTTCACTTATTTCTTTGCATTTCATCATATAATTAAATCTTCTGTTATGAGATTAAGTTTATAGCATTATGAGTTATCAAACATTATTAATATTAATTTTAGAAATATTTTAGAATGATAACTTATTAAACAACATTTAGAAATATGCTGTGACATAAGCCAGGAGATACTACAACATAAAATATGTCAATGCGTAAAAACTATCAATAAACAAAAATGAACGCAAAATATTTCATCATCATCATGAAACAATCATGGTTATCATAGATAAGATAAAGATGAAGTTGTTAAAGGTTATATACAGGCTTGGCAAGATACTAGTGACATATTTTCAACATCATTATAATGTCAGACGCACTACGTCAAATCATTGTTGACAGCTTGTCTGTCACATTATCAAACACTTTCCCCCATGATTTCATTTACATGTGTCTTACATGTATAACCTACGTATGTTTATTAGGAAAACAATGGGTTTAACAGCATTTATTGTAGCGAAATATTATACCTATGCAACCAGTGCAGACCAAGATCAGCTGGTACACTGTGTGCTTTATGATAATGGTCTACACTGTTTTAAGTGTTTGCTGTTCTGTCAGTCCTTATTTTGAAATTCTCCACAAGTGTGATGATTTGTTTTTTTACTAGACTGAAAGATGGACATGTCCATTTAAAATATTTAGCAATAGTAAGAAATAAAAAATGCACAAGCAATGGCCAAGTGAATGAAGCTGTTGTTACATAATGGACATATTTCATAGCAGTGATGACAAAATATGGTCAGAAAAAAAATCACGCAAAGGTCATTTAGAAACAGGGACACAACATATTGAATTTTATTTGACAGAAGAACTCTGATGTCTCTATGCACTTTATTTCAGGCTGTGTAAAACAATCAGCCTACCTTATGCTTGTTTGACAGTTGCCTCACTTGAGAGAAATTAGTATCATTGGCCAGATTCAAACCTGTAGCAGTGAGATATCGGTGATTCCAAACCAACAACCTTACCTGGTCAGCCAAATAGTCCTTTTTACACTGTTACCTTAATTAATCAAATATCTTACCTGATGATTTACATTGACAGGATTCACTTCTTCGCTGTCGATTCCTGCTGTCAACAGCTGCATGACAATTTCAGCATCACCATTCCAGGCAGCCAGGTGAACAGGGGTACAACCCTGGCAGTCAATAAGACCAGGCTGTGCATCTGCTTTTAACAATGCTTCAACAACATCTCTGAAAATAAATAAAACATGGATATAAAATTTTGAATATTAACCCAATCCTAAACAATCTTCTTAGCCTCTCAAGAAAAGCACAAACCTAGAAGACTCTCTCCAGAAAACTACAGGCTAACAAAAGTCCCCTGTAAAAATACTGCCAAGAATATCTTATATATATCTTTATAGGCTTGGAAAAAACAACTGGATCAGAAAAGTATCTTCAGAAAGCTACAATCTTCACAATTTCTCCAGAAAACAACAGTTAATGATTTATATACATGTAAGTCTCTCAAGAAAACTTCAGTCGTAAAAGACACTCTTAAGAAAATTTCAGGCATAAAAGAGTCCCAGGCTTAGAGGAGTATCTCTGGAAACTAAGGTTGGGAAGAGTCTTTCCAGTATAATACAATAATAATGCACTAAGTTTTTTCCTGAAACTAAGGCCTGGAAGAGTCTTTCCAAAATATAACAATCTTAGGACAGTCTCTCAAGAAAAGAAAAACAGGCTTTAGAAGCTAATTCAGAAATAAAGGTCTCTCTAGAAAACTTTAGGCTTAGAGGAGTCTCTAGAAAAACTACAGGTTATGAATAGTCTCTCAGAATAGTCTCTCTTGAAAACTATTTAGGCAATAAATAGTCTCTCCAGAAAACTACAGGCTTAGAAGAGCCTTTTTAAAAAATACATATCATAAAAGCATCAACTGCCATCAGGAAAAAAACTTACAAACAATGTTGCTTTCAACTGATTTTGCAGCATTTGTTGTGGGAGTTAAGTGTAAATCACTATAGTGATTCCTATTTCTAATTTAGGTAAATTTCAGTCATGTGTCTAAAAACCTAGCAACATTCACTGCTAATTGGTAATTGATGCTAATTTATTGTTAAACATCAGACAATTCTAAATATCTCTATAGTTACCCATTCAATGTAAGTAAATTCAAGTAAGGCACATTCTAAATCAAATATTATTTGAAGGTTAATGCTTCCATTGTTAAAGTAAGAGTTGTCAATATCAAAATCCAAAAAATAATCGGCAAACAGTGTTGAGTCTGGCCCATTAGGCTTCATGGATATGATTGGTAAAGAGTTGTATGCCTGACTAGGCTTCACAGATATAATAGGTCAAAATATAAAGTTATACTTGGCAGTCATTCATAAGGGTTTACAGATATGAGGGGCCAACAGTATAGAGTCTTGCATAAGGCTTCATAGATATGAGTCATGAATAATGCTGCAGCAACGACAAGCCAACATCATAGCTGAACCTAGCTGACACTAGTTGTCTTTGCTGCTAATGTTTAAACAAGAGGGCCATGATGGCCCTAGATCGCTCACCTGACTTATCAAACTCATCCAAACAATTACCTAGACAAGCATTCTGACCAAGTCTCATGACAGGTGAGTCAAAAATGTGACCACTACAGCGTTAACAAGGATTATCCATATTTGAGCAGTGCGACCTAGTTTTTTACCCAGGTGACACATATTCAAACTTGACCTAGAAATCATCAAAACAAACTTTCAGACTAATTTCCAGGATACTTGGATCAAAACAGTAGCAACTAGAGTGTTAACAAGATTTTTCTATTTTTAGCTCCGGTGACCTAGTTTCACATGCGATTTCGAACTCATCCAAGCAATTACCTAGACAAGCATCCTGACCAAGTTTGATGATAATTGAGTCGAAAATGTGACCACTAGAATGTTAACAAGGTTTTTCCATATTTGGGCGGTGTGACCTAGTTTTTCATCCAAGATGACCCATGTTTGATCTTGACTTAGAAATCATCAAAACAAACTTTCAGACCAATTAACAGAATATTTGGATCACAACAGTAGCCACTAGAGTGTTAACAAGATTTTTCTATTTTTAGCTCCTGTGACCTAGTTTTTCATCCGAGATGTCCCATGTTCGATTTATTCCCAGCAATGACCTAGACAAGTTTCCTGACCAAGTTTGATGACAATTGAGACTAGAGTGTTAACAAGGTTTTTCTATTTTTAGCTCCTGTGACCTAGTTTTTCATCCGAGATGACCCATGTTCGAAGTCATCCGAGCTATTATCTAAACAAGCATCCTGACAAAGTTTGATGATGATTGGGTAAAAAATGTGACCACTAGAGTATTCACAAGGTTTTTCTATTTTTAGCTCCTGTGACCTAGTTTTTCGTCAGAGATGACCCATGTTCGAACTCATCCAAGCAATTGACTAGACAAGCATTCTGACCAAGTTTGATGATGATTGATGCAAAAATGTGACCGCTAGAGTGTTCACAAGGTTTTTCTATTTTTAGCTCCGGTGACCTACTTTTTCATCCGAGATGACCCATGTTCGAACTCATCCGAGCTATCAACTAGATAAGCATCCTGACCAAGTTTGATGATGATTGATGCAAAAATGTGACCGCTAGAGTGTTAACAAGGTTTTTCTATTTAAAGCTCCGGTGACCTAGTTTTTCATCCGAGATGACCCATATTCGAACTCATCCGAGCTATTATCTAAACAAGCATCCTGACAAAGTTTGATGATGATTGGGTCAAAATGTGACCACTAAGAGTGTTCACAAGGTTCTTCTATTTTTAGCTCCTGTGACCTAGTTTTTCATCAGAGATGACCCATGGTGAACTAATCCAAGCAATTGACTAGACAAGCATTCTGAACAAGTTTGATGATGATTGGTTCAAAAATGTGACCACTAGAGTGTTCACAAGGTTTTTCTATTTATAGCTCCTGTGACCTACTTTTTCATTCGAGATAACCCATGTTCAAACTCATCCAAGCTATCACCAAGACAAACATCCTGACCAAGTTTGATGATGATTGGGTCAAAAATGTGACCTCTAGAGTGTTCACAAGGTTTTTCTATTTTTAGCTCTTGTGACCTAGTTTTTCATCCGAGATGAGCCATGTTCAAACTAATCCGAGCTTTCAACTAGATAAGCATCCTGACCAAGTTTGATGATGATTGAGGCAAAAATGCGACCGCTAGAGTGACGGACGACGGACATTCACCGATCCTAAAAGCTCACACTGAGCAAGCTCAGGTGAGCTAAAAAGTTAAGCTTCAGGCAAAATTCCCAAGCCAAAATTTTATATAGAGAGCAGAAAGGAAGGAAAAAACTCAAGATCATGAAGTGATATTAATAGCATTTACTGTATATGAGACCTATAATTTAATAAAGTTACATGTATTTAGTAACAAGAACAGTAACAATGATGCTCTATTTGAAAAAAGAATAAGGTATTCTCACGGTGCATATCCATATCGGTACCCTCTTTGCGAAATCTGCTGAAACGGTACCCTCTTTGTACTTGCACAGGCCACTCTCTGCTCAAAACAAACCAGCGATGGATAACAAGCCAGTAAAAATTCATTGTAATAAGGAAAGGAGGTATGACACGTGGAAAAGATGTATACCACGGAACACTAGAATGTTTTATCTATGTGCTGATTTGTCCTGTGCCCGTTTTTCATGTACTGCAACTTCACAATAAGCTACAAAAAATCGACATGTCTTACCTCCCCCATCACCTTGACATACTTTACGGGCTGAAATGAAGCTGTGGCCTGATTATATATGCATCATACATATTTACTATGTTCATTTATATATCATCTTCGGATAAATGGCAGTACATTGTCAAAAAATAAATGTAAAATTCATAAAAACACCCTACTTTCGGTTTTGCAGCGGCACGGGCTACCTCTCTTCATTTGAATTTTTATATCACAGGTACCCTCTCATTTTTAAACACACATAGGTACACTCAATGCACGACATATTCTTTTATTAGCGTTAATCGTTAAGTATGAAATATTTACATAAAAGTAAGAAATATTACATACCTAACGATTAACGCAAATAAAAGCATATGTCGTGCCTTGAGGCTACCTATGTGTGTTTAAAAGAGGGTACCTGTGATATAAAAATTCAAATGAAGAGAGGTAGCCCGTGCCGCTGCAAAACCGAAAGTAGGGTGTTTTTATGAATTTTACATTTATTTTTGACAATGTACTGCCATTTGTCCGAAGATGATATGTAAATGAACATATTGAATATGTATGATGCATATATAATCAAGCCACAGGTTCATTTCAGCCCCAAAAATATGTCGAGGTGATGGGCGAAGCAAGACATGTCGATTTTTTGTAGCTTATTGTGAATTTGTAGTACATGAAAAACGGGCACATGACAAATCAGCACATAGATAAAACATTCTAGTGTTCCGTGGTATACATCTTTTCTACGTGTCATACCTTCTTTCCTTATTATATTGAAATTTTACTGTATGGTTATCCATCGCAGGTTTGTTTTTAGCAGAGAGTGGCCTGTGCATGTGCAAAGATTTTCAGCAGATTTTGCAAAGAGGGTACCGATATGGATATGCACTGTGATTCTCAAACTATCATTAAAACCAGTATCAAGAAATACAAGACTTATAAAACAAGTATTTCCTGTTTGGTCAACTGGAATGCATATCATTTTTAATGGGGAAAAAACCCATTTGTATGCAACTGATGAGAGACTTTCATTTATCAAAATTGTTTGTTTTACATTTTAGAATATGTTTGTTTAAATTGTTAGAAAACAATGGTCTGTCTGAAGATCTAGCTCTAAATCATGATTGAATGTCACCCAGGATTCTCACTCAATTACTTCCAAAAACAGACATATATCTTCAAAAGCTGACATATCTCACACATTCTATCTAAGCAGTTAGGACATTCTTGCTGCTACAAATTGCTTAAAGCGTAGTCAAATTCCCCCTGGGACTAGCAGTATACAATAGAAGCAATAAATAAGATAAATAGGTAACTGGCCTAAATTAAAGAATACCATTTATGGAACTCCTGTACTGTAACGAGCGTCAAAATAAAACCGAAATTCTCATCTGAGCATAAACATATTGGTACAGGAAATTCCCAAGAGAGAAATGTTTTTATCTGTAACGTTTTTATATTGTTCAGCTAAACTACTAATTATTATTGATTAGAACTATTTATTTACTC